TAGTTAAAAGTTGGACCACTGACTAGTGCTTCAGTCCACTTACGGTAAAGTGCCGCAAAAAGTCGTGCTGACTGACTCGTAGATGTCCTGCGACTCGTCGAGGACAAAGTTTGCAAAACCAAAATCACTGAGCTTCACCTGGCGAACCTCATTGAGAAGAATGTTATCCCTGTGCGTGAGTGGCAAGCAGAATCTTATTAGTAACAGATTTTAAGACAACACACAAATTACAGTTTTATGTCTCGATGTGCCATGCGATGAGTTGTGTGGAGGTAATCGACAGCTTGTGAAGTCTGGTTGAACCAGTAACAAGCTAGGTCCTCTTTGATGGCTTTATTTTTCTTCACGTAGCCAGCCAAATCGCCACCGCCAGCTAAAAGTTGTAAAAAGAAAAGGCAAAATGATAAAGATTTGTCGAAATGAAGCCATAAAGGTGTGTAAAAAGAGTACAACTCACCAAACTCCATAAAAATAAAAACTTTTTTGCTCATCTTAAAGATGTCGTAGACACGCACCGCATAAGGGTGATTCACCTCCATTAGCGCGGCCAGCTCGCGGGGCAAAAACTTTTCTACTAGCTTGGAGGACATCTTTGTGGTGTCCATCACCTTAACAGCGCACACTTGATTGTCCCTTTTGACGTTGATGGCCTTGTATACCTGATAAAAGTAAGTTTTTGTTAGAGAACGCTAAGTAAAAAGCGATGCTTAGTACCTGGCCAAAGGCACCCTGACCAAGTTTTGCCTGCAACTGATAGCCCTTCTTTGTGAAGACTGCTTGCGTCTTGGAGTCAATCTCCGCAAAATCATTTGAAGAGGAGGCCATTGAAAAGGGCAAAAGTGACGTGCTCAAAAGTAGAAAAAAGCTGTAAGTAATATTATGCCGACTAACGCTAGACTTTAATCTTTGTTGAAAGTAGAATTTTTAAATGAAGAGATTTCGAATTCTTTAAACTTATTTAGTTAGAAAAAAGGACCACACGTGGGGCCTAATAAATGCCCTTAGTGAAAAGCTATAAGTTGAAAACTTGTTTTTGATTGACAAGCACAAGCCTTCACTTGTTATCTTCTTCTGGCGCCAGTCTGACCGTCGCCTATGTCTGTCAAGGACAAAAAACAAGGCCTGCCTGGGCTCCGAGATTTCGTCAAGATAAAAGGGGTAATTAGCGTCGAAGGTCATTCTGTTAGCTACTAGTGAGCTCAAGGGCCTAGCATATAAAAAGCTAACAATATCTCTTATGTGTGCTTCATTGTACTCCAGACTTTTTTGCACGGTTTTAAACAATTAGCTCAAAATGAAGTTTAGCACTTTGTGTTTTCTCATCTTTTTTACAACTGCAGTTTCTTCAGAGGACTACCGAGTTCGCATTCATGAGGCTGGTCAACTGACGGAGCTCTCCTGCAAAGTGGCTGCAAATGTCAAGGCCTTTCAGATTGGCGACTGGAATC